TCTGTGAAGCACTTTGGTCTTCCTGGTGGTGTTGTAAAGTGCTAGTGGCTCATTTTTTTCGGCAGTAGGCTGACAGGAAAGGGGGGATGAGAGAGGGGGGGAGACGTGCGGGAAAGGACCACAGGCCGGATTCCAACCCGGGTCGGCCGCATCGAGGACTAAGGCCTCCGTAGATGGGTCGTCACCGAAGAACGCCCACATCAGGTTCTAGTTTAATGAAAAACAATCAGGAAATCAAACAGCTCTTGCTCAACAAGTTTAGTTTGTTATTAAACTATTACATAATAGCAGTATGCATATATATATATATTCATATATATATATATATATATATGAATATATATATATATATACAGCGTGGCCATGTTTGTAAGGCCGTTCTGACTGTCGTCGTTCCTACATATCCCACCCCAAAAAGCGCAGCTAGCATGCCATTGGTCCGACTCGCTGGTGGTTGAGTACTGTTGCTCCGATGCCATTTTTGGCTCTGATACCCGATACCTATGCAGTATTGGCCGATACCGATACCATCTGTCTGAAATTGATGTGTGTGTATATATGAAGAACTGCAGACTACCTGGATGTAAAATAATCACCATCATGGCTTCAAGCTGCTGCCTTCCTTTGTGAAGCAGGAAAAAGACTAAAACAAAGTGAATCCAGTAGAACTTTTTATTGCCTACCTGGAATGGGAGACAATAGTGGAAGAAACTATTGGCTCTCACAGCTCAGGCTGTGGAGGGAGCGCCCCCTGGTGGTGCCTCCTGTTGCAGATAATTGTTTTAATGTTAATGATAAAGTTTAAAGTTTCTGTCTTTCCTTCAGGATCCTCTGGGTTTGAAGAACCGAATGCAACTGTGACCGTTCTGACCACAGGTAAACATTTAGGGTTGGATTTCAATTCAAAACACAGATCAATAGATTAGTTACGAACATGATTTAAAGCTGGAAATGTTTTTAATGAAGTGTTTCTGTTGGTTCCAGTTCTGATGACCTCCGGTCCTGCATATGTTCCATCTCCAGAACATCTCAGCATCATGGTTCTGTCTCTGGCCCTGCTGGTGCTTCTCATCCTGAACTTGGTTCTCTGCTGGCTTCATAGACGCCATCATAGTGAGTTCAGTCTGTTAACGGCGCTAAATATTTAGTTTGAAGCTAAATATTTAGTTTG